GGTCTTTAACAAAATCTCTATAAAATATTTATAAATATGTGTAGTAAATTGATTCAATGCAACTTTTTTGCAGAGATACATTATTGTATGTGATATAACAATAATCTTTTGTGCAGAACAAGTATTTTGAGAGGGGGGATACCTCCCTTGGATAAGCAAAGCAAGATCATAGATTATTGACATTTAATATAAGTAAGTAATTTAGCCAGTTTATACTGTCCTACTTTCCTTTATCAGACAGCTTTCCTGCAAAATCAGATTACAAAAAATGTGCATTATATCCTAAGAATAGAACCTAGCCCCAAGTCTGCCTTCTTTGCTATGCGTAGGCTGGCCAAAGCAGGCCGAAAGCTGACTTCACTGGCTGGTGAAGGATTTCCCTGGCATTGTAGGACCAACAAAAACAGATCTGTGCCATTTTGGAAAATCTCCAGGTGGCATAGAACCAACATAACCAACTCTGTGCCACTCATGCACCCTGATCCTGTTATAAGGGTCATGGTGTGGGAGTAGTGTGGTCAGAGTGCAGAAACAGCTGGTATAACTACATGTCAGGGCTGTAGCTAGTCACACCATTTTAGAACAGCTCTGAGGCTACTCTAAGATACACTCGGCCTAGAATCAGAATGTACAGCCATCTTTGCTGGCACAGCTGAGGATCTGTCTCCTGGATTAGTGGACATTTAGCAACGTCACAAAACAGCCAGAGTTTGCCTGCTTAACCACAGTTGGAAAGGTATACTCAGGAATGATTGATTGGAAAAGCAGGGAACTTTAAAATCAGTATTGAGATACATTCACAGAGCTGCTTGGGAAATCTTATATGATGTTTGGAAATGTCATTATTGCTGTTTGCTAATTTGAATAATCACTAAATTCATCCACAATTTTTTAAAATCAAGAGTCAACATTTTCAAAATTGGGCACCTAAAGTTATGCATCTACATAAATGCCCTGGTTTTCAGAGGTATTCAGCACCTGCAGCTCACATTATATAGTAATGTAGTTATTTCAGAGTGCTGTGAAATAGATGGCATTTCATAAATCACTTTCTGTGTGCTCCAGTGATTCCACATAGCAAGCTATAAAAATATTAGAGAAAGAAAAAAAACCTTTTCCCTTAGGACTTTTTCATTTTGAAAGTTTTAAAGTGTTTAGGTATAGATACTGATCAAAACCAGAATGTTCACTAGGTTGAACTATGTTTACATTTTTTTTGTCAGTATCACCTATTGTTTGTACAGATCTTTTACACAACAACAGAGAAAAGAAATACATTTTAGAAAATAAGAGATTGTGATTGTTAAACCACAACATTGACAAGAAGACTCCATGATATTTTTACTATCTGATGTTAATTTTAATTCATTTAATTTTTTCTTTTTAAATTGGCAAGTTTTCAAGTTGACAGTATCCCTTTAAAGTACAGTTATTCTCTGATAAGTAACAATGTAAGAATGGCATCACAGAGTTCTATTATTCATTGTGTGTCCATTATTCTTGTGTCAAATATGCTCAGTGTCTGAGTCAAAATGGTTTTCCCCCCAATGGTCAGCCCTGAAAACTTATTCTGGTATGTGAGATTCAAGGAGGGATCTTCCCTTTCTGCATACCTATAATAAATTTTTTCAGGACAAATTATGCCCTCAATGGCACAGGTACAAATATCTGGTCTTCATTTCATTTGCACAAGTATAATTGATTGGAATTTGGTAAACAATTCTGATGAAGATGCACAAGAAGGAAGAGAATCTAGCTCACTGTTCTTTGTTGACTGTGCAGAGCTGTAAGAGTTAAGGTAGTAAAAACTATTTTTTTCACTTAATCAGCAGATATGAATCTAAACACATGCAGGGGGCAGATCTGTTGAGAAGAAGGTGCTAATGCTGCATAGTCAATTATCAAATTAGAACTTCACTTTAAATTAATTTTGACTAATAAATTACCTCTAATTATAAACTTTTTTATTGTTTGCTAAATGTGCCTTTTCATGTTTGTTTCTAAAATATTGTGAAAGAAGAGAGTCCTTTGTGCTGAAAATAAGCTGCCAAGTGGTAGCTTACTGCAGTGTTTTAGTATCAAATGTAAACTTGAATTACTTTTTAAGTTACGCTCCAGAGATTTGCACACCTTTCAGTAGTATTTTCTTTAAATGCTACTTTGCAATCTTTAATGTATGCTTTTTTGTTTTTCATTGAATCATCATAATGTTCCATTTTATATATATAATAAATTGCCTTTATCCTAAAAGTATAATTGTTATTGTAATTCACATGTACTGTGTTTCTTGCAACATCAGTCAAAGTCAGTTGTGTGTAGTGTAAGTATTTGTCATAGTCAAACACTATTATGTTATTTATTCTTTGATTCCAATAATGTTTTAAACAGCTACTCTGTAATGGGATTGAGAATCTGGGTAAATTTGAACAGCTGCCATGAGTTCTTGAGAATAATGCATAGTATTATCAAGTTCTGGTAATACTAACCATTGCAACCTTAACAGGGATGTCAAAAACATAATCAGTAGGAAGACAGAGGATTGAATAAAACTAAGTGCTGGTAAATGTAACTGCCTATGAGAAACTGGTTTGATTTTAGCACTGATGAGATCAGGATTCATGAGATCCATAATGAAAATGTGTATGAACATTTCTAGATCTTTTTGAGCTGGGTACAATGACTGGTCCATGCAAGAAAGAAAACCTTTGGGCAATGTTTTAAAGAAAATTGGGGTTTCTTTTAGTCACTTGTAGTCATGTAATATTTTGGATGTTTTTATAGTTACCTGTGGGTTTTAGTCTTACACTGTCACAATCTTTACCAGACTAAAATTGACCTAACGGAGCATTAATTAGGTATGTGTGGCAGGGCTGCAGCTCCAGCTGCCAAGTAGTGTGTCATAGGTAGGAACAAAGCAGATTTAATACTCACAGTAGTCAATGAGTGCTTATTTGAAGCCAATCAGTTGCTAGTGTACTTAACAGGAAGGAGCTTCCAATCCATACCTGCTATTTTTTGGTTGATTTTGGACTCTGCATTATGTCTGGCCACATTTGGCAGCTCAGAGTATACGCATGTTGCTAGATTAGAAACTATATCTTGCAGGGTTTTGCTTTTCAGAAACTTACAACAACATTATAACTCCAGGGGTATTTTGGCATTTTCACAAAGAGAAGGGAAAAGGAGTCTTAGAAATTAACGGAAGTCAATAATCTTTTAAAATTGTGATTTAGCAGTATTGCTCTTTCAGCGTTACTTTTCTCTGCTGAATACATGTGGTAATGATTTATCAGGGAAAAACAGAAGCAGAAGGTTTCCAGTTATTTGACCCAATGAAAGTGTCTATCTTGACACAGGTTTGATCAGTCCTAAACGCCCTACACAAGTTCTAGTACTATATTAGCAATTTTGTTCGGCAAACCTCTTCCATTTTTGTATTTCCAGGCCATCTATTGCACAACACCACATATTTTCCTGAATGTGTTTTTAAAGTGAATGATTTCAGTCAGTCATAGTCCAAATTTTTATTTTTCTCTCATCGATGTATATGAATGCCTTAAAGTTGTTGGGGCCTGTTCACTTTGTAGACCTGCTCTACATAAAATTATCTATTTATGGAAAAGACCTGAAATATTTGTTATTACTCCTAAATACTCATGAAAAACATATTTATGAAGGTTTGTAGAGTTTTCCCTGAAACAAGAAAGAAGCAGAGCTCATACCTACCCTGAGCAGAAATACCTAAGGCACTGCTGTAGGACACAGTAAAAGGAGGAGGAAAAGAATAACCTCTCCAAGAAATTAAAATAAAATGAATGTAAAAATAGCAAATACACATGATGTTGAAATAATGAGTATCATGTTATAGGAATTCATATGGAAAATAGGAAAAATATGACAAAATAAAGTTTTGTTTTCTCAGTACCTGATTCTAAAACCCTTGCTCACATCCAGTAATCCTTACTGATTCAAGTAGTCCCACTAAAGTCAGTTATTGATACAGCCAATGGGACTTCTTGCATAAGTAAGTATTATTCTGTGTGAGAACTTCTGCAAACATTAATTTGCAACTTAGCAAGATCAATAACACACAGAAAAAGGAAATGTATTAAATATTAAAATTAGTGAAAGGGTCACCATCAAGAATCAGTAAAATGGTCAGTAAATGTTATCTTCTGTAGTCTAGTATGTTTCTTATGAATCTTATTTTTCTTGCCTATTGACACATTGGTATTCAAGCTGATATTTCATTGAGTGTATTACCATATACTACATACAGCAGTTTGCATTGATTGCTTCTTTTCTGGAAGTAAAATAAAGTAGATCTGCTGTAGTTTATTGTTGTTATGCCCCTGAGATCTTGGACTTAGCTGTCTCTAAATCACTTAACCTATCTGTCATCCTTTGTCACTTTCTGTATAACTTTTGCAATTTGTTTACAGATAATTTTTATTTTCCGGTAGTAAACCTATCAGACCAATACTCCAACCTCTCCCACGATTGTAAAGCTTATTTACACCTTTAGGGGTTGCAGGTATACTCGTACCTGATATGTTGTGTCATACTGTATGTTCAGATGATATACTCCACTGAAAATGGTTGAGGATATTATTTTTGTGTGTGAGAGAATTTACTACCCCTCAAGTGTAAAGGTAGAACTAAAGAGTTCTGAAACCATATAATTCCACAAAAGCTTGACAGTTTTATTTGTAAAATACAGTTGCAATTTCCCATGAGACATTTAAAACTCAAACTATATCATAAATACAAAGAGTTAGACTTAAGGAAACTGTGTGCAATGACCTCCCCTAACATTGCTAAGTTTTTCCTAAGGGGTGAGTATTTAAGAGGTTATGTTGGAATGGGGATTTTATGAATGGGACTCATAGGGTTAGCAGCCTACAAAGCCAATGTTTTGGTCTATTAGATTACAGTTCAGGTTTTTGTTAGTCTTTGTTAGAATGAATCACCATAATTTTCTGACTCTATTTCATTTTCAGGATTTTGGAACGCTATGTTCAAGATCAGATTCCTGGTGCAACGGTTGTGGTAGAATCCATTGGAGCCCGCAGATTTGGAGATGGCTTTTCAGAAGAGGATTACTCCAAATCTGACTTAATGGTCTATGCAATTGACCCTCAAACAAACCGAGCTATAATGAGGAATGAACTTTTTAAGTAAGTATTTAAAATCATTTGTCACTGATGTCTGTATTCTTGTTGCCTGTTTTGCAGCACACTATCTTTATTTTCCTTCAGTGCCTTGGACTTCTGCTGATTCACAACCTTCAATTCCATTCTTCCCAAGATTCTTACAGATCTCTGGAAAAATATGGTGTTTGTGGGTGCCTCCTGCTGCTCATTCCACAAAGACAAACCCTGTACCTTCAATGGATTGATGGAGGAGCGTATTATGGAGTGGATTCTCATGGAGCTTTTCTACTCTAGTGAAACCAGTGGTCACCTTTATGTGGGAGGGGGCAATCCAAGACCAGATTGATAGTGGCTGAAAGTCATTGCCATATATTAAATGGCTAGACATTTATATGTGTAGTGAGAATATGCACAGTCTAGGATAGGATCTACATAGGATTAAAACAATTATAGGGGTTATAAACCTTCATGCTTCAGGGCTGAAGCCAACCACTAACTAAAGGGTTTAAGAAAGAACTTCCCCTCTGGGTAGTTTGCTCCATTGCTCATTACAGGGTTGATGCACTTTCCTTTAAAGGTGGTACTGGCTGCTGTTGTAGACAAAATATGGCAGTAAATCTAATAGTCTAATCCACTATGGCAATTCCTTCATGTTCTTAATTAATTTCCAAGTGGGTGAACATTTGCCGGCATCACAAAAACCACCACAACTATTGGCTTATCTTTGGTAGTCTCAGAAGCCAACGACCGAATGGCATGGAAATTAAATTACCTTCTCACTTCTAGACATGGTATCTCTAGGTAATGGCTGGGAGTAGTTTATGGGACTAAATGAGTACCTTACTTTACAGAGATGTCATTCTGTCACTTTTTGTAAGCACTGTGTTCAATCAAAATGTATATATGAATAGAGAAATTCCTTCTCTGCCACCTGCAGAAATCACCCTCTTAGACCTATTATTTTTAGCTTGGTTTCCAAATGTATTTCCATGAGCCTTGTATTTGTATGAAAGCAAGGAAAAGGCTTACCTAGTCTTTCAGATCAACTGTTGTCTGCTGCTTCTTCCTACATTTTGTCTGAGTGTTTGCTTCTCCCGCAGTGAGAGTTAGACTAGAGCATTCAAAGATGGCATAAGGCAGTCTGTGTCCGTCACAGATCTAAAAAGCAAATGGCCGTAAGCTTTCTTTTGGATTAATTACAGTCTGAGGTACCTAGATCCATACAGGCAACAATTATGAGGCCAGAAGAGACCAGTGTGATCATCTAGTCTGATTTCCTGTATAGCAGAGGCCAGAGCAGTTTCCAAAATTACTTCTTGTTTGAACTAGAGTAGGGTTACCATACTTAACAAATAAAAAAAGAGGACCCTCCACGGGGTCCTGGCCCTGCCCATTTCCCACCCAGCCCCGCCCCAACTCCGCCCCTTTCCCCGCCCAACTCCGCCCTAACTCCGCCCCCTCCTCGCGGAAAGGGCTGCCCAAGCGCTACCGGCTTCACGGTTTGCTGGGCAGCCCCCAGACCCTGTGCCCCCGGCCGGCACTTCCCCAGCGCAGCTGGAGCCCGGGAGGGGAGGCGCCCAGGCGGGGGCGCAGGGTCTGGAGGCTGCCCGGCAAACCGTGAAGCCGGTAGCGCTTGGGCTTCAGGCAGCCCCCTTGCCTCCGGACCCTGCGCCCCCAGCCGAGCACTTCCCCTCCCGGGCTCCGGCGGCGCAGGGTCCGGAGGCATGGGGGCTGCCCGAAGCCGGTAGCGCTCGGGCAGCCCGGCTCTTAAACAGAGCCGAAGAGTCAGGGGAGGAGCAGAGCCGCCGCGGCCGGAGTCTCCCTTGACTCTTTCATCCCAGATGACCACATTTGATGGTGAAGTTATTGGGAGTCTTGGAGAATGTTAGAGAATGGCTCTACCAAGTGCAAACTAGTCTGAACATACTTCCTGTAGATAGCGTGTGCTCCAGCTATCATGTTGATTGTGATCCTTGTAGATCCTTGTAGCACAGTGTTCCTAAATTCAGACTTGGATTCCAAATGTGGTAGTGCAAGATCCTGCCTTAATCTACCTACATACAAAGTGAGCCAATGCACATGCATATGGGTAATTGCCTGTTATGTGCGCACACTGTGGATTTTTGCTGACAAAATGCCCTTGTGTGGGCAGAAAATTTGGCCATATTTATGTCAGGGTCCATTGAAAGTACAGAAATGTATTTTGTAGTCCAGACTTGGATATACAGTACTGTATAGTGAGGAGAGGTTAAAATGCAAATGTTCAGACATATAAAAAGCATTAGCTTTCCCGGTTTGTACTGCTAAAGGATAATATTAGCTGTGGAAGGAACCTCATTAAAATGCTTCATGTGCCTCCATAGTCGGTGTATTTTTTTCTTTTAAAGCTTTTAAAAATTTAAATCAGCAAAATCCTGGAGAATGCTTTCCTGCTCTTGGGGTAGAGGTGAATAAGCATCATCATAGTAAAGTAAAGGAGAGGAATGAAGAGTTTCATTACTTGAAATCTGAAGCATTACCATGTTTTAGCTAGTGAGGGGTGAATCTCAAAAGATTTGGTTCAGATAAGCTCAGATGCTTATTCAAATCTAGAGAAACTCCCTCCCTAAAACTGCAGCCTTCTACCTGTAGTTGGGCTTTTAACGGGGAGGTTCAGTGATCCTTCCCCACCGCACAAGTGGGATGTCTTCAGAGGCAACATTAGTGGTCCTCCTCCCACTGGAAAGAGATTGCCAGGTTTTATAACCACCCTATGCCAACCCACTAAGAATGATCATCGCAGGGAGTTCAGTACCAGAAGGAAGATTCTTGGTAGCAGGGAACCCTGTGTAATAAACAGCAGATGCCAGGGGCTAATAGTCAGAGATAGAAAAACACATCAAGTCTCTATTTAAATACAGAGATGAAGATGGCCAATGGTAGGAGTTATGGGATGGTACTGGGGATGGGTCTGCCTAACCCAGTATTTCCCAATCTTGGAAGAGGCTCATATTTTAATATAGGAGGTATGGAGAACATTCAGAACAGTTCCTATTTAGCCCATGAGTTTGCCCATTTGTAGTTTTAGCATTCATACAAAATTATTATTTGAGTATGGGAAAATACTTTCAGATCTCCTTCAGTGATCCTTTACTAAACATTAACTTACAATACATATAGTGTAATTCTGTATATGATCCATAATTGGATCACTGGCTTTAATCTACATTTTGAGCTTTAATAGAAGGTTCCAGCCTTTACCTGTCAATTTCAGAAAAGAATCTTTAATTGGGACTATTGATGAATATTGGGATATGACCCTGGCTCTTGTGTCAGCAGTTCTGGTCCCCTAAACATTCCCCATATATGATGAATTTTCAGGTGACTTAGAGGCACAATAGCAATTCCTATACTATCCCCTTGCCGCAAAGAGCACGGTTTGTACAAGAGGGAAGTGGTTGAGGTATCCTGTCATCTCTTGCTGCCAAAATGGACCTGAGGGCTATTGGCAGCTAGACACAAGTTAGGGCAGCATCAAGGCTGTCTAACTTACACTACTGCTCCAGTCTCCAGCTAGTCTCAGAGTTAGACTGTGGGGGACGAATACCTAAAGGTACCTAAAGCCACTATTATACTCACCTCCTGAACTGCACCAAGTGTAGCTTGAATGCAGTTCAGCATCTGAGTCATTGGCTAGAGCAGATGTGGTATCACCGTAGCAATTTTTCAGATTGCATTTAATCATTCCCACTCAAACAGTTCTGTTCAAATAACATATAAGATTAGACTTGCAGAAACAAAAGCCAGTAAAATTTGAATTTTGTTTAAAATTTAAACTTTAACCTATGCTGCTTATTGCCAATTGGGCACAGTAAGAATTTCTCAGAACCATGGGTGATTTTTACATACGCTAATCATTATAATACTTATGAACAATGAGGACTGCACAGTCTTCTTCAGAACTCGTGATCAATAAGGGTTAAATATATGATCTGTCTTGGCCTATGTGCTGTCTTGTGAATGCACAGTAAGTATAGAAAATCTATTTGAGGTTATTCTCAAGTATCGCAGCAACTGTATCAAATTATTTTTTCCACAAATGACTAAAAAGCAATGAAACCATTTAAACTATTTGGACTGAAAATACCAGCATATTTTAATTACACGTTTTTTATTTATTAGTGCACTAAAAGCATTGTAATTTATAAAGAATTCTCTTCTATCTATTCACCTTAAAAATATCCTATATTTAAAAAATCCACCCATCTGAGCCCTTGTGCAGTATGTAGTGAATGTGTATGGTTGAGTTATGAACCCCTTAAAATAAGGGTTTGTAAAAAAAAGTTAACAGAATCTTAACTGAGACAGTGTTAAAGTCTTCCAGAGGTATAATGCTGGCAAAGCTGAATACTTGCATATTCTTCATCAGCACAGAGGACATCTACCATACACCAGTGACATCTAGTGTGCAAATGAAGAATTAGAGCTCTGGTCTCCATTATGCTTGCATTTTCAACATTCATATTGCAGATTCTGTTTAGGTAAGGGTAAATTATTTTTGCTAAATTACCAAAAACAAACACATTATCTGAAAATGGGCCAAAGGCTTAGTTATGAATGTTAGCAAAACATAGTAATAAAAAAGGACAAAGTATTCTTTCTTAAAGAAAATATTATTCTCACGACCTTTGGTGGAACATTAGAAGGAGTTGATGGATCAATGAATGATTAATCATTATTCCATTATCAAGGTAGTATTATCAGGGCCGGCTCCAGGGTTTTGGCCGCCCCAAGCAGCCAAAACCAAAAAAAAAAAAAAGACCGCGGCCGCGATCACAATCGCGATCTGCGGCGGCAATTCGGCGGGAGGTCCTTCACTCCGAGCCGGAGTGAGGGACCGTCCGCCGAATTGCCGCCGAATACCTGGACCTGCCACCCCTCTCCCAAGCGGCCGCCCCAAGCACCTGCTTGAGAAGCTGGTGCCTGGAGCCGGCCCTGAGTATTATGGAAGCACTGCTCATGTTTCCATAGTTCATGCTTAGCTG